AAATTAATATATTTATATAAAAAATTTTAAATTAACATTTTTAAATTAAAAATTACAAAATTAAACAACTTCAATTGCACCGTTCCCCTCTCCCTTTAACACAATTCAAAATGACCTAACCTGATGAACTCACACTCCAAGTTAGCTCAATCTAAACCCATCGATCCGACCTATGTGCCAGGCCTAACTGCAAGCATATACCTCAATCAAACTAAAACTTTAGTAGCTAGCGGAGACTATTAGAAATCAATATATTAGATGGTAATTACAACAGATTAAACTAAACTGCTTATGAACTCATCCAAATAATCAAAGGAGAGATCTTTAATTAATGTAACCTTACTTTAATTCCTCAGTTTTATTTGCTGCTGCTTGATGGAGATGGGCAGGGATCTAGGAAAGAAGAGAATTTGAAGAAAAATATGAGAAAACAAACATGTACTCAAGAAGGAAAAGAAAGAGAAAGACCTTATTTGGTGTTTCAACATACCAAGATTGGGGTTAAACAGCAGATTTGTCGCCAACAAGGCCAGTCAAACCCCAAATGGGTCTCATCAAATGCAATGAAATTAAAAGAAATCAAGTAAAATAAGTGAAATCTATCCTCATATTCAAAGAAAATCATCAAAATCAATTTAAAATCTCTCAGGAGAATGAGTTGAAATAGATAGATGCTTCCCTTTGGAGGTCTGGCTATAGAAAGCACGGAAGAGATGAAGAGGGTTGAGGAGGCGGATCTGATTAAATAGATGGTAAAAGGGACCCACAAGTCGGTAGAGCAATAAAAAAAAGATAAAGAGAATGATTGAGGCGTGAAAATCATCAAAATCAATTTAAAATCTCTCAGGAGAATGAGTTGAAATAGATAGATGCTTCCCTTTGGAGGTCTGGCTATAGAAAACACGGAAGAGATGAAGAGAATTCTATTTATTGGTGTATATCTTTACTCCCTAATTTTTTTTTTTTATAATCAATACTTTAAATTAATTTTTATTTTGATTAATATCTTTCATAATTAATAACCTGTAAAACGTCCAAAACTACGATGGGATATCACATGCGGGTCACGTGCCCGTTAAAAACCGTTAACGACATATGCAACCATATCATTGTCAGGTGCTACCTAGTGTATCAACTAATGGTTTTAGACGTGCACGTGACTGGCATGTGATCTCCTGTTATGATTTTAGGTTTCTTATAAGTTATAAATTACGAAAAGTATTTATTAAAATGAAAATTATATTAGAGTGTTAACTGCCAAAAAAAAAATTTGTAGGGGGAAAATAGGGGCTTTGGACTTATTTAACTTGTCAACTATTTGTGTGTTTAAGAATATAATAAATGTATTTTATATAATTAATTTATATAAAA